GAGAAAGTTCAGAGAGATAACCGTTTACTTTCGAACACAGGTCATCAATTCCATTCCCGGTCGCCATGATCGAGCAATCGTCGGCGTAAGAGACAATCGAGACTCCCTCTGGTGGTTGAGGGAGCTTTGAAATGTAAAAGTAAAACAGTAGTGGGGAAAGGACACCACCCTGTGGAACCCCCTGTTTTATTTTCCTAAGTTTGCTCGATTTGTCTCTAAACTTTACCGACGAGTGTCGACCACTTGGATAATTTGCCGACCACCGTTTGAGCCTCTGTGGGAGAGAGGAAGCCTCTATATCTTCTAGTAGCGTGGAATGGCTGACAGTGTAAAAAGCCTTTGACAGGTCCAACGCTACTAGAATCGTTCTCTCACAGGGACGTTTACGGTTAAGGCCACGAGTTATCTGAGTGTTTATGGCGTTAAGTGCTGTTGTTGTACTGTGCACTTTACGGAAACCATGCTGATGCTTCGCTGGGGTCAAGTGGTTTGTGAAATACGGGAGTAGCAAGGCCTCTAGTGTTTTCGCTACCGGGGAAAGGAGTGTTATTGGACGATAAGAATCTCCTATGTTGGCGGGTTTCCCCGGTTTGAGCAGTGGGACCACTCTCCCCACCTTCCAGATGTCTGGGATGATGAGAGTGCCCATGGACAAATTGAGGACCTCCGTTAGGTACGCTACCCCCTCAGGACCCAAATTTTTCAGCATCAGCATGCATATTCCGTCGGGACCCATGGCTTTGGAGGCTTTCGTCTTCCCGATGGCCACCTGAACTTCACCGCAAGTGAAAGCAAGGGGGGCACAGGTTGTTGGCAGTTTGTGCAGCCTTCTGGTCACTCGACGCTTGGCTTTGTCCACCGGAGGATGCAGTATAAAATGCCGGCTAAAATAGCTCGCGCATCGCTCCGGGTCCGACGAAGCATGGTCGCCGAAAGAAATTTCGACTCTGTCGTCGTGCTTCGTCGGATTGGACAGTGACCTCACGGTTGACCAAAGCTTGCTCACACCAGAGGTGAAGTTGCAGGTCTTCAGATGCTCTTCCCACTTCTTCCGCTTATGTACGTTTACTAGTTGCCGAATCTCCGCGTTGAGATCCCTGATACGGGGATCTCCGGGATCGGCCCGACGAATGCTGTCACGCTCATCGGCTAGAACAGCCGCTTCAGCAGGGAAATTTGGGCGTGGGTCGGTGATGCATCGTGCCGGTACGAAGTGGGCTGCAGCAGCGTTGACTGCCCTGCGGAACTTACGTTCACCAAGGTGGACGTCGGTTGGTGTGGGGAGGGCAGCGAAGGTGTTTTCAGTAAATTCCGCGAAGCCTTTCCAATCATCTTTTGAAAAGTTGATATATGTTCGGTGCTCCGCGGAAGCAAAGTCGGTTGGTTTATCGATCGAGATGACTATGGGCAGGTGGTCTGATGCCAAAGTCAGCATAGGTCGCCAACAGTCAACAGCCGAGTTGTTCGGACGTGTTTTATCTGCATTCCTACTTCTCTCTATAAATTAATAATTTATTAAATATTAGTGAGAATGTGACTTTTTTTCTCAAGTGCCTTTTGAAGTAGTGGATTATTACCTACTTATAATTTTGGGATAGTGACTCTTGTTTTTGTGACTGATCGATAATTTAAATAAAATCAATACATAATTACAAAGTTTTTCACGCATATGCAAAAAACAATAATGCCTTGTGTGTGCGATCAAAAGGTTGATAGAAATCTTCCTAAAGAGCAGAAAGTGCAGTGTGCAAAGTGCAATGATCTCTTCCACGCCACTTGTGTTGGTATTCGTCCGGCTGATGTCGAATTTTTGCAAAGTGCTGGTCAGTGTTTTTTTTGTGAAGCTTGCACTATTCTGCGTCGGACTTCCCTCCGTTCACCTCCTCCACCTATTACAAAGGAGAAAACGTCAACCGTCATCACTAGTTCTTCCTCTTCTAATTCTCCGAAGTCTGGAGATTCTACGAAGCATAGTGATAATTCTCTTATTAATGCCGAGAGCCAGCAAACAATAAATTCTCTGTTTAATCTAATAGCATCTCTTCAAACAGAAAATGCTAGTGTGTTAAAGTCGGTGAGTGCGCTAAATGAAGCTAATAATAACCTGGTGCTGGAATCGACAAAAACAAAAGTGAAACTAATTACTCCTCGATGCCAGTTAATTCAATGTCAACTTGTGCTTCCTCTGCTCCATCTTTCGTTGGCGCACTTTCCTATGCTCATATTATTTCATCAAACATGAGCACCGACTCTAATAATATTCCCACAATAACAACAATGGGTTGCCCAATGCAATCAACAGCGTCGTGCACTGTGACGTCGGCAATAACTGATGTTATCTCAGTTTTTGCTCTCCCATCTTCTTCTACGGCTGATGCTAATGCTTGTGCGCTGAAAGATAAAGCTAATGCTTGCGCTGCTTCAACTACGGCTACAGTGACTGCGGCGCCAGTATCCGAAGCTTCTGCTTCTCCTCTTTTACCTGTTTTTGGCAACGATAATGCTCAGTGGGTGAAGGTATCGAATAAACGGGCTAGAAAAAACAGCAATAAGAATGCCTGTGGTACTGCTACTACTACTACTACTACTACTTCTACGACTGCAGTGACTGCGGCGCCAGCATCTGACGCAGCTGCTTCCTCTCATATGCCTATTGATGTGACGAATAATGTGACTGGCAATGCACAATGGGTAAAGGTGTCGCATAAACGGCATAACAATAATAATAATATTCGCATAAGAGGAACTAGTGATAATACTGATCTAATTGTCGCTGACCGCTACAAATTGCTTCATTTGGCCTCTTTTTCTCCATCCGTATCTGAGGATGACATTAAAAATTATGTAGCTAAACAAATTGATTTAGACAGAACTCTAATCTCATGCTCTAAACTAATTAAAAAAGATGTCTCAGCTCAATCCCTGAATAGGATTAATTTTAAATTAGGAGTCCCTGAGTCCTGTTATGAGAAATTACTATGCCCGGATATCTGGCCAACAAATGTTACCGTTAAGCCTTTTCTGAATTTTCGGAAGGGTCGACGAAAGCTATTACGGACGTAGCAAGTAGTACCCGACTGCACATACAAAATAATAGAGAGCTGAAAATTTACTTTCAGAATTTATCTGGTATGAGAACCAAGTCTGAAATGGTGCACAACTTTAGTGAGCAAATGAATTACGACATCTTTGTTTTCGTCGAAACATGGTTGAATGAGAATTTTTTTGACGGTGAATTCTTCAACTCAAATCTGTTCAATGTATTTCGTAAAGATCGTGATGCTGAAAAAACTGGCTGCCTTCGAGGAGGTGGTGTTCTTATTGCCATTAAGCGTCAACTGCAAGCGTCTTTGGTCACACTTTCGAATGGTGATTCTTTACTGGATCAGCTTTGTGTTTGTGTTAACGGTTCCTCACCGCAAGACTCTTTGTATCTTCTTGCGTCGTACGTGCCCCCGGGCAGCTCTTTCGAATTATACAAGGCCCACGCAGATAACATTGCTTCATTAGTCTTAAACAACGTTAAGGAGCATCACCTCTGCGTGCTCGGCGATTTTAACCTACCTAATATTAATTGGTCAACCAGCATTTCTAATAATTACGGTCTCACGCCAAATAATGTCAACTCAAGTCAAGAATTGTATTTCATCGATAATGTACTTAGTCTTAACTTAATTCAAATTAATAATTATTTTAATTCTCTAAATAGGCTTCTGGATCTTATATTTATAAGTGACAATTTTTGTTGTGAAGTTAGTGAGTGCCTGAATCCAGTTACTTCTAAGGACAGACATCATCTACCACTTGTTGTCGAGTTTAGATTTTATTATTTTCCTCCGGTTACTACTGTGAGTAGACCAATCTTTAATTATTCTTCGTGTGACTTTGTAAGTCTTAATGATATTTTACTTGAAATAAATTGGGAGGAGCTACTTGGTGGGCTTGATACATCTGTCAGCTTTTCCGCTTTCAAGTCGATCGTATACACCCAATGTTTAAATAGGATCCCCCTGCGGGTAAAAAAGAGCCTATAAATTACCTTGGTACACTAAAGAATTAAATAAACTCAAGAATCTTAAAAACAAATTCTTAAAAAAATTTCATAAGAGTAAGAATAACTTCTTCTTCAGTAAATACAAGCTATACTTAAAGGATTTTAATATTTTGAATAAATCTCTTTATTCCGAGTATATGCGCAAAATAGAGGGAAACATTAAATCGAATCCCAAAAGTTTTTGGAAATATCTTAAGGACAAAAAAAGTTCCGCTAGTGTGCCTACCGGAGTTTTCCTTGATGATTACTCGGCGAAAACTCCGGATGAGGCAGCTAACTTATTTGCCGATTTTTTTAAATCGAATTTTTCTGTGGACGATAGTAGTCTGCCGCTTGATTTATCGAACAGTCTGAACTCTGCCTTAAATTTCGGAGCTCTACATCTTTCTTCCGAGGATATTATTAGAGCTGTTAACGATCTCAAAGCTTCTTCTCAAACAGATTTAGACGGATTTTCCCCCATCTTATTGAAAAATTGTCCGGCCCTGGTTTTTCCTCTTCAACTTATTTTCAACAAATCACTCTCGCCTGGGATCTTTATTGACGATTGGAAGGTTACGTCTATTACGCCTGTCTTCAAAAGTGGCAACAAAAATGATGTGCGTAACTACAGGCCCATTTCCAAACTGACCACCGTCTCCAAAATTTTTGAACATGCAGTCAATGCTAAGTTGAGCTTTGCGGTTAAGTCCCTTATTTCTCCCTATCAGCATGGTTTCGTTGCGGAGAGGTCGACGATTTCTAACCTTGCTGTCTTCAGTGAGTATTGCATTGAGTCCTTTTCGGCTGGCTCGCAGGTTGATTGTATCTATACTGACTTTTCAAAAGCCTTTGATAGGGTCTCTCATCGAGTCTTAATTTATAAACTGGGATGCCTTGGTTTTCATTCTTCCTTTCTGTTATGGTTAAGTTCATATTTATCCAGCAGGCGGAGTGTTGTCACTGTGGATGGGGTATCCTCTATTCCCTTTATTGCCTCTTCAGGGGTACCACAGGGGAGTATACTAGGTCCATTATTATTTAATCTTTTTATTAATGACATCAGTAATTGCTTTACATTTGCTAAATGTCTCCTGTACGCTGATGACCTAAAATTGTTCTCAATTATTAAGACGCCTGATGATGCAATGAAATTACAAGATGACATTTCCAAGTTACGTCTGTGGTGTCATAAGTCTCATCTGTCCTTAAATGCATCTAAATGCTTTCACGTGACCTATTCTAAGTCATCTAATATTCTTCGCTCAAAATACAGTATATCAAATTGTGAACTTCAATGTCTTAGTGAGATTAAGGACCTTGGGGTTATATTTGATAGCAAGTTTTCTTTCAACAGTCATATTAGCCACGTAACCTCTAAATCGTATTCAATGCTGGGTTTTGTTAGGCGCAATACCGCAAAATTTTGTGACCCATATACTTTTAAAGTTCTCTATACTTCTTTTGTCAGGTCTCACTTAGAATATGCTGTCTTTATTTGGCGACCTAGTACTATGACAGCTATAAATAGACTGGAGAGAGTACAAAAACGCTTTCTTAAGTATGCTCTTTGGTCGTTAAATTTTGTGGAGCCCATACCACCTTATGCTGCTCGTCTTATGCTGATAAGTCTCAAATCCTTGGAGAGTCGAAGATCTATACTCTCTTTGTCCTTTTCCTTCAAAATTATCAAGGGCCTAATTGACTGTCCATACTTATTAGAAAGGATTCGGTTTAATGTTCCTCAACGGCATCTTCGCAATGTGTGTCCGTTCTATGGGGTTAATACGAAAACTCAATACGCTTGTAAAGCTCCTGTTAATCGTGCTTTACGAGAGTTTAATTCACTAAGTGATGCTATCACCTTGGATTTTTCGATGCAAAGTGATGCTTTTTTCTCGATGCTTAATTCTGCCTTATAAGTGGTTTGATTTATGCACAAAATTAGTTTGTAATCTATAAATTAGTTAAGTACATAGTCTGTAAGGATTGTATTCCAAAGACTTATAATTAAATAAATAAAGATATGCTGTTTATCAGACCAGCGCTGACTATTGTTATGTCTGGCGAGCTGCAGCAGCTGCCCATAATCCTGGTGGGTGCGTCGTCGTTCATTGTGCAGAATGTCGAATCGTCTATCTGCTCAGCCAAGTCAGTTCCCCTACGATCGTTTGACAGGCTTGAGTGCCAAAGGTCGTGGTGCGCATTAAAGTCGCCTACTGCCATACGGTTTTCACCTCTGAGGAGCGCACCTATGTCAGGGTGATATCCTACCGGGCAGCAGGTGACAGGGGGTATATAAACGTTAAATATTTCGAGCTCAACATCGCCTGACCGGATAGCAATGCCCTGACATTCTAGGGTGGTATCCCTGCGGTCGATGTCTGCTTCGATGAGACGATACTGCACGGTGTGGTGCGTAATGAACGCTAAGCCTCCACCATTATCCCGCTCGCGATCTCGACGGTGCACGTTGTACCCGGCACAATTCAACAGTGTTGAATTGCTGTGCAACTTCGTCTCTTGGACCGCAGCAATCAATATGCCATGCCTTCCCATGAAGACGGTTATCTCCTCGATCTTGCTCTATAGCCCGTTACAGTTAAATTGAAGGAGCTTCATGTGGTTCGGGAGACGTGTGGTGATGCGGGGTGTGAGGGATGTGTGTGGTCGTGCCGCAGTTGGCTGTGTGCGCTGCTGAGGTGGTTGCCGCCCTGTGGTGGTGGCGGGAGGCGTCGCAGTTGAGGTCTGCGACCGAGCAGCGCAGCACGGGCCCTCGAAGTTCCTCGTCCAATCTCGCGTGGTGCGCAGACCTGAGAATGCCCTAAAGTGGCACCAGCCAAGGCAGGTGTTGCATTTGACTGATGTCACATTACGGAATATCCTGGTCTGACATACCGTGCAGATTGTAGGAGGAACCAGGAGTTGTTGGCGGCGGCGTGTAGGTGGTGGTGTGGTTGTGTGTGTTCTGTGGTCTGTAGCCGTTGTGGTGTGGTCTATTGTGTTATGTTGTTGTGCTGCGGTGTTTGTGTGGGACTGCTCAGGTGGACTGGGGTTAGCCGTGGAGGCTGCTCTGTTAGAGCAACAGGGGGCCACAAAAGACGTGGTCCACTGCCGATGTGTCCGTAGTCCTGAGCAGACTCTGAGGTGACTCCACCCCTCGCAAGCATTGCACTTGACAGAGGTAGAGTTGTGGTGTAGTCGTCTCTGGCATTCACAGCAGGTGTAGGTTTCTGGTCCTGGGTTTGACTCGATGCCAGCCCTGAGTAGGAGAAAACGTAGCGAATGTAGCCCTATGGACGAACAACTTCTGAGATACTTCGCCGACCTAAACGGGGTTAGATCGCCGAAACAACAGCCCTTGGTCGGGTAAAACCCGAGTCATTCCGGTACGTAGAACCGGCTGTCGTGGGAATGCTAAAACAGCGGTTGAAACGTATGGTGTAGTTAGTGGAATTCCCAACTAGTGTGATGACGGTTCCCATATCAATGGTTAGACGCTTTACCCGGAAAAAGCTAGAAAATGGGCCTTATGAATACAAATTAAAATTTCAGACCGTTTACTCGATTTATTCAAATAAATTTCAGTACACAAAGTTCTGAAATTTTAAGAAAAAACAGTTGCTTAGTTTTCGTTCATAAGGCCCAATGATTCGTATATCTATTCCTACTACACCACTGTCAAAATTGGATTTTCCAAAAATATAAAGCCAAATCAAGTGATTTGTGCTGTGTATTTTCCGCCAAATATACTTATAGCTGATTTCAAAAACGAAATATGTATATAGACTGTGTGGGGAGAGTGTGTTCAATCCTATCAACGAAGTAATCACCAAAAAACTAAAGACGAATACGAGCATTTAAATGAGGCTCCCACACGAAATAGTTCAACTCTAGATCTAAGTTTTTCGAAAACTAGCATTGCTTTCCAATGGAAGATTTATCCAATCACATTGGGTGGAAGTCACCCTTTTTCCATATTTATTGAATCTGCTAAACATCACTATAGAAGGGGATAGATTTCTCTCCAAAAACAAGGTTACTGACAATCATCGACAAATAAATATAGATTCCAATGTTGATGCCCTACACTCTAATACCATGTTCTGACCGACATCGAAAACATGTTTTCGTTGCTAAAACTGGTTTTCGACCTAAAACTTGTGTTTTCGTCAATAGTTGCGTTCGATAACAAAATTAGCCAACACCAGCCAACAATCAAAATCAAGAGAGTAAGCGAAAATTCTCTCCCAAAGAGATGAAAAAGCAAAAAAGTTAACGAACAGGAAATTAGCCATTACTTGCAAAAACCGGAAGAAGAAGACACACCAGCTGACTTTGTTTATGTTTTATTTGTAAACAAACTGAAATTCATGTTGCCTCCATAGAAGAAAAAAGGAAAGTGAACGTTCAATGTTCGCCAGGAACATTTCTAGAAGTAAAAACTAGTTGGCGCTATCATAAAGTCACATAGCAGGCAGCCAAAAAGCATATAAATACCAAAACTCGGAAAATGAAATTTTGTTTGTTTACTTAAATTGCAACCATATGTTTTGTGATCATATGTTTTCGTGTTGGATAACTTTTGCTGACTAAAATTTTGCCAGTACAAAATGAACGCTTCTCTTGCATCAAAATGAACGCTTGCTCTCTCAATTTTTGTGTGTTGCAT